TGTGAACGCTTGTCAAGTTCATCTCCAAGCTAAACAACTATCATTCCTGGCTTATCAGGTCAATGTAGCCGGGAATCAGAGAGTCGTCTCGTGTCCAGAATGAGCTAATGTGGCGCTTATAACGAAGTTTGTTTAGATCGTTCACCAGAAGCTGGCGGAATTTAGTGAGCCTCAACGACTATCGTTCCATCCTTGTTACCCCTCAAGGATTACCGATCATATTATCTGACAAAACGAGCGATCAGCGTGGTTTTTCCATATTTGACGGGGCCTAAGAGGTGGCTGCGAGATATGTCTTTTGGCGACAGCTTAACACTAAGTTTTGTGCGACAAAGCTCGAGAACGGTTTCTAGCGCGTCAAAATTTTCGGTCACCGGGACATTTAACAATTTCAAACATGTCCGTCGAGAGTATTTGGCCGATTTCTCGAGTTGAGCTTCCTGGTCTCGATGGACTTTCTCCAATCAGGTGATGGTTTCATGGAGGATTGCAACGTGTCGCTCCAGCTTACCCACTGACGAGGTCACATATTTCATACTGTCTGACACTAGGTTATCAACACATTCATGTACAACGTTTTTAATTTCGACATCTTCTTCTAGGAAATGTTTGATTTTTGGCTCTTATTGGGAATTTATTTCATGTGCTACAGATTTTGAAATAACTGTAGAGAGAGCATCGGAGACCGGCTTGCCCAGTAACTGGACCAGATGATTTACAAAGGATGGTTTGGACATCGCTTCATAAATTGCGTCGGAAAGTTCGCACACACGGTCCGAGGCCTGGTGTAGTTGGTGCTGAGACTGGCCATCAGGAGGGGACTCATATGGCAGTAGCTGTTTTGGATCAGTTTGAGCAGCGTTATCAGGCGATATTAAGTCAATAGTCCGTTTGGCTGACAACACGGGTGACATATACCTAAGGATTATTTGACTGACAACCCTCAGTACCTGCATTGTTCTTTTAAAATTAATCTGAAAGTACAGGACTTCTATTTTAATCATAATTAAATTGGTACATTAAATATGATGCCACATTATGAGGTGAGCTATATCTGGGTTAAGAGGGGTCTACAGGCTCATAAACTCCGTCTTGTCTATCAAGACCAAATGGGGTCGATGAGACAGTAGATCTCTCCTTACCCAGAGATAACAAATGTGTCACCATGGCAATCTTTTATTATTTTGTCTGCAAAAGTACGATTTAGATTTCTTGTAGGCTATATCATCCTCTGAATGAGTGGCAAATCTCCAACACTTGTCCGTGTTGGACGCCATCTTTGTTGTAAAAAAAAGATATTACAATAACATCTCTCATGATTATTGCAAGTAAGTATAACATGTGCTGCTTTGAAACAGTATAAACAGGAAAGCGTCTAAGAGTAATTACATCGTTCATGACATTATTTATAAAAAAAACATTATGACTGCTATTTAGAGGTTAGTTTGTCGTGTTTACAATTAAACATGAAATGTTTGGTTTTAATCAAGACCAATTGGTTGCAAGATTTATCATTTTTTTTATCACCAGTATAAGTACTCAAAACAACGTTTTAGTTCCTTCTAAACACTTTAATCAATACGACAGCCATATTTGGAGAAAGCATACTATTTATCTCACAACTACATATTAGCTCTCAGTAGTAGGTCATTGAGATCAGGTTCGATGTGTCTGATGTTTTTGTTGACAAGGCAGAGTGTTTTTCTTGTTTTTTCCTTTCATATCATATTATAGATACCAGCGAAACATTTTACACGCTAACGATCCTATGGAAAGGCAATACTGTTACAGAATCGTAACATATCAGGAGACAAAATGTGATAACTAACAAACGCATAAACAACGATTTCCGTTTTTTATAAAAAGACAAAATGCACAATGAATGCATTTTAATTTATATTTCTGTTGAATTTGATAAAATTGCATAAAATTCCAACAGGCTACTAGTATGTTAACAGAGACTGCATTCACATTGTAAGTAAGTATGCACCAATGCAAGCAAACTTGTATTTACATTATTCCGCTTAAGCTGAAACTGTGCCAGGGCTATCAAAGAGATCAGCAAGGGATTTGCCACAGTTACATATACACTAGTTTAGGCAACAATTACCAGGATCTTTTTTAAATTTCAAGTATATGTAGCTTTAACTTGAAGTCATTTGTTTTACTTAGATATGTGACATAAATATTAATCGATACCTTCGACACCGGAAGTAGTGAACAGTGACCATGGGTTATATTAATATACACTGAATAACCCCTGTAATAAAATAAGTATTAAAATGAAAACAAAATCCAGAAATCTCAGCTTTAAAATTGACATAAACATGGTGAAGTAGACTATGTGGGCTTTATAAATTTTAACGACAAAAAGATGCATTTGGTTTGAGACTACGGATTTTGCCATTTATAAATTTGTGTCTACATCACAAAAGCAAGTTTTGCATGTAGTCTATATACATGTATGTACATATTCAGCACATATATTGATACTGTCAAAAATCCATCAAAATGATCTGAACATGTATGCTAAAACGTGAGTAATTCTTTTACGGAGTAGGATATATTTAATAGAAGACGATCTTTAAGGAAATAGTTCCCAATTGCGGTAGTCAAATGTTGGGTTAAAACCATGATTTGTTTTTTGCATTTTCGGTTTTGTAGATGTGATAACCATGCTTTTCACAATTTTTCTTGAAAACAGATGTATTTGAAATGTAGTTTATAGATATGTAGGTAAATTATGCAGGATGAATACACTTTCCATGTGTATCTGAGACATGCCCTCTATTTTAAGGATCAGGCAATTTCTGCTGTACATTGCTTCCTTTGTGAATCCTAGCATTCCGCGAAATACTAAGAATAGACAACATAATACAGAGCAGGTTTTGCATGTAAATGTCCGATGATACAACTTTAAAAGTTCTATATTGTGGTGGGTTTTTTTATAATTGAAGATGTAAAAAAATAAGGTTCGAAATATATCGCATGACCCGTTCTTTTGTTTGCTTGACTATCATTACAATTAAATAAAATTTATTCACCTTCGAAATATACCAAAAAACGTTTCAAGACTCCCCTAGCAACCTGCCAAATGCCTGGAATTTGGCAAATCAGACGGAAATCTGAGTGTCAATAGCTATCCTGTAAACAATCCAATGATCATCAGTACATTTTGAATTGCTTTGTGACTTTTTTTGGAAAAAATAGAATGATTTTATACAAAATGTTATGTGTAAATTTACATTACAAAAAAACTCATACACTATATTGTCATAAAAATCTCTTCGATAAAAACATGATGACATGATAACACACAAAAAAAAAATGAAAACAACGTTAACAAAATTCTACACGTGTAGCACAACTGCCGAGAAAAACGGTGAAATTAGAAATAATAGGATAAGGTATTGGTAAACGATTTAAAGATGTTCATTCGCTTTTTGGCTCTGCTTTTACTGGAAAAATCTCTATACTACAATATATGACAGCTTTGTTCATTAAAGAACCATTATTGGCACTAAAGCCTAAGGAACGGATTCTAATTCCTTCAGGTGTTCTGAAACTAGGACAATTTTATTTAAACCATTGTTGAAAGGTGACATTTTAAGCTGCAACATAGAAAATCAATCCCTTAACAAGAATAACTAGTAAACTTTGCCATAATTAAAGCTCGAGGTACTTACCAGCCACAGTGTCTGATAATCCACTAGAAGAGCCTAGAACCAGAATTAGCTAGTGTGGATATACACAACTGATGCAAACAAGTTAAGATTCATGCGATATTTGCAGAAAAAACAGCTTGTAATAGGGCATTTAAACATAAAAAAGGTTTGTTTTTAAAGTTTCGGGAAAAGTCGTTGTGACTTATAAACGTATCGAGAATGAGTTACAATCTGTATTACATTTTAAGGGAGGTTAAACAGAAGTCATATCTGTCAAGGAAACTCTTTCCCATTCTGGAGGGTTCTAGTTTGATTTGTTTTATTCTTTAATTGATTTCAGGGTTTTCCGAAGAGAGCTTTGTTTCTATAATTGTAGAGATATAGAATTGCTTTTTTGATTCCACGTGTTTTGAATAATGATTGGTTCACTGTTAAAAACATGAAATGCATTGGGAATTGAATAATTAACAAAGTGTATCAACAATACAAGAATTGATGACAATATACTATTTCTATTATTCTATTGTATCCCCCAGTTTTCTTGTTATTTTTCTGAGAGGAAAAATGATACTTATTAGGATTTTTCAATTCGATTTTTTTACAAAAAAAAAATAAACTGGTTGGTATTAAATACATTTTAATTTCGCAGGATTTTAACATTACTGTTCATTATGACAAAACACCATTATTCCTTTTTCCCAAAAATGCTCCCTCGCCCATTTTTGCTTTTTCTTTTTCTAAAAAAACTCATCTACAAAAGAAAATGACTCTATACATATTTGTTTGTGTGTTTGTGTGATCAAGTTTGAAACAATAGTCAGTAGTTACAAATTTAATATCTAGGTTGCATAAACACCTTTTGGTATATATGAGAAAAGCGTTAAGAACAATCGATATGGTGTTTTTCTTCGTGTAAGGAGTGTTTATTATAAAATGTAAATCTTTGACGTAATGCATCATTACCTTATCATTTTGCCGTCTAAGCACAATTCTCGAGATATATATCGGCAAATGCATTTGCAGATCATATTCTTAATTTAAGGGGTATTATCCAGGCAACAAATATCCCATCTGGTATACTTAAAAGACTTCTAAGCCGATTTCACATGTTTGGTATATGGTTAGGTCATTTGTTAATATCTGTTTAGCATATTACATTTTAGTCAACTAATCGCCTTATTCTGTATGTACGCATCACTACAAAATAGCTGACCATATCAAATATTATACCGTTCCCTGCCATATGTTACGGTTGCCAGCCTACGATTGGCTTACCTGTCTCTATATTTGTTATAAAAGAAGAAACTTTTCCCCACAAAATCGAGTTTACTCCAAACATTTCAGGGAAATGGCCAACCGAAAATTTACGCAGTGCTACGGCCTTTGGATATGTGTGCTGCTTGCTGCTACATGTAAGTACTCCTTTTAGTTTAACTTGTCTTTTTATAGTCTTGATATATAAAGTAATACACAATTATGTATTTCACTGGAAACCTTTTGGGAATATTTAAATATATTAAAAATAATTTTACCTGTCAAACCTCTGACTCAAGTAAAATTCCGGGTAGCTTCAAATATCACTTTCTTTGATAGATGTCAACTTCGGACAGAGAAGTGGGTTTGTGAAACCTATTAGCAGGTTTTCTGATTCTTATCATAATGACATTGAGAATATTTTATATGTACGAAATGAAGATGATTTAGATCATTCTCATCAGTGGGCCATGTGGTTTTGTTCTTGCTCGGTTTCTAAAGCTTGCCATTACTTTGTATTTGACTTCCATTTACACGGTGGATGTCGTCGTTAATACAGAAGACCCATATTTTTATTATTATTATAACTATATTTACAATAGGGACGTCTTGTTTTATGCTCACGACGTTATTTAACCCTCTATATCTAGCATTTTTGTAATTATCTCCTCGATGACACTCTTACAAAATTAATCGTTTTCTTTAACATTATTCAAGTAATTTGTGCCAAACAAAGGTAAATAGAGGTAGTCATTGATAACATGGGGTTTATATGCAACCATTCACCGGCAGGTGTGTATTTTATGAATACCGGTTGACCTAAGTAGTGCCGAAAACAGGAAAAGACAATTGTGTCAAGACATTGTAGATAGAGGGAGTCACGGACAGTCCTGTGTTTATGTTTCACCCTACACCGGAAGGTTTGTTCACAAATAACTCAGGTTGACCTTAGTCAAACTCGTTCGTTGTTACCCTATTAATGCTAAAACCTTTAAAAGTCCCCAGAGTTAATGAAAGACAAATTGAAACAGAAAGACAATTAAGTACAGACCCCTGTTTGAGATACTGTTGAGAATTGCAACATGTTCATAGCCTGTAAAACACATTATTGCACACTTTTTAAGAAAGCTCTAGGTTTTTCATCAATGTGAAATAACTCAATTTGTTGTTGTTTAATAATAAAATGATTTCATCTCTTCTGAATCATTAGATAAATAGCCAAACTGTTTGTTAGATATATGAATATAAATAGTAATAATATAGATATATGTAACACATCGAAAGAAATTTTAGTGTTTAAATATGAACTTTATTTTTAACAACATTTATGAGACAATTTATTGCAACTAATATAAATCACTCTTGTTTGCCCGAATGGAAGAACTCGGGAGGAGGTCTTAATGTGGGAGACAATCGGGTTACTAGGAGAAAACCCATACATTCATTGTTTAAATTGCAGATCAAAATTGATACGTATCAAAAACTTTGAAAACAATAAAGTTTTAACGTTAATGTTTTTGCGACATTAAATTAAATAACCTCTTTTTTGTGACGTTCTGGTATAACGTGGCTGTAAATGAAAGGCTTGTCACACATAATATAAACAGTATTATTGAGGTTTACATTATCATAAGTAGCTAAATATTGTTTATGTTCTCCGATCAATAGGATATTCAGATATTTATGAATTTATGAAATGAAACAGGTTCATGTGAGGTTATTATATATATATATCCATATATATATGTTTATATTAGATGTAAAAGAACACGTTTTTACTGTGTTCACAGCCAATAATAATGACGTTTTCTGTTTTAATAGATGCCGATCACATCCAAGACTACGGCGGTGGAGGAGGTTTTATTGATGGCGGCACAGGAGGAGGCTACGGTGGTCCCTCACATGTTGTTGTCGGCGGATATGATGATCACTCACATGGTGGTTCTGGAGGAGGCAAAACGCATTGCTGTGACAACGCTGACCTGATAAACGGCAGATGTGTGTGTAAAGCCAATTACCGAGGACATAGCACTCATCCCTGTGACAGTAAGTATTAATCGTTGTTAAAGGTAATATTCGCTACCTACTGATGATTGTTGTTATAGTAGCGATAGCTAGTTGTTGTCAAACTCAAATTGATTCATTTACATAAACATAGCATGTGGTCTACTACCTTTAATATTTGAAATTATGCATTTTGACAGGTCAAATAGAACATCATAATGTCATTTTTATAAAGTATCTCCCTATTCGTTATGGTTATCTGTTAATACCATTTTTTCCGCACTAGAAAAAACATAACGAAAGACATTCTTCTTCAATTACTATATTAAACTGTTACTTGTCAGATATTATTGGGACCAAATCGAAAAGTATGAATCCCTTTTACACGACACCATATTATGATTTCATTAACAGAAAAACACTGTTTTCATTTTTTTGCTTTTTTTTTTTGTGAAGTCAGAATATTGCGATGAACGTCATTTCCTCTGACGAGAACAATTCGGGAGGGTGACACAAATTCCGAAAGTATAGATCAATTCATCATTTTCTTTTTCAATTTTGCTTGATTTAATTTCGCTTGAATTTCAACCACCTATTCTAAATAGTGAATAGGAATTAACCAGATCAAAAAAAACAAGAATATTTATCACAGATATATTAAAACATTGGAATTAAATATGAATTATCGTATCTTTGCTGTATTTAAGAACCTTGCTGGGACAAATGTGGAACCAATTCGTACTGTAACGTACAGGAATTTAAATGTTACTGTAAGGAAAGTTACATCGGTGATCCCTACTACGAATGTGACTGTAAGTACTTAAAGTGGAAATGCATTGATATGATTATTTCGTTTATCGCAGTTAATAGATATTAGACTGAATACAAGTTTGTTTGTTTGTTTGATTTTGTTTAACGTGCTATTAACAGCTAAGGTCATTTAAGGACGGCCCCCTGTGTGCAAGATGCATGCGTGTAGTGTATGTGTGTGTATTTTGGGAGGCTGCGATATGTTCGTGTTTGTCTCCTTGTGATAGCGCGGAACTGATGCCGACTTTATAGTGCTACCTCACTGAAACATACTGCCGAAGACACCCAGCAGGACGCCCCACCCGGTCACATTATACTGACAACGGGCGAACCAGTCGTCCCACTCCTAATTTGCTGAGCGTTAAGCAGGAATACAAGAATTGAATCGTGGTCTCCTTAGGTGTATATGTTATAATGGTTCTTGATTTCACATTGATATAGTGATTGAATCTGGAATTTTCTAGTGTCCATGCAAGTATGAACGGGGGAAAATCTAGCTACACACAATATGAGCGGCTGTAGCGGAGTAAAGTCCATAGGTCAAACACTACCAATAGAAAGGAAAACCAAAACATCATTTGAATTACAAGCTCTTTTCATTCATTCATAAATGAAGTGTAGTAGTATAACGTAAACTCGCCCCGTCATTTCGGGGATCTCAAAATTAATTCACATGAAAATATTCCACGGCCGCTTCATCCGACTTGAGCAACCTTGTTGAGAAAAACTTTGTTTTAATTTGCGAATGAGCTGTAATTTAACTTAGCTAATTAAACATAGAGAAAGTTTACAACAGTGTAGCCTTGTGTACGGTAAAGTCGAGGGATGATGTTTCTGGAGGACGGACAGGCCAGGGTGACACCAGGTTTGAGGAAATAGGCGTTTATTATGACGTGCATTGCATTAGCAACACTTGTCAGGTTTTTATTTGTTTCATGGATCATTCATGGATATCAAATATGAAAGAATTTTAATTTGTTTGTCGTAGGAAGAACATAACGTGTCGTATTTCCAACCCTGCGTCCCTCGGGGTTCGGTTCTTTGTAGTTTCGCCCGCGCTATGTGCGGCGTGTGTAAATGTTGGAAACATCCAGATCAATTCATTATATTGCCACTAATGTGATCATATATGACACCGAAATATAGTCAGTTTGAGCTTCGTCAAATTGATACCATCTAAAGAGAAATCGGATCACCAAACCATCATTTTATTCTTACATATGAAATTCTGAGGATGAATTATATTCATTTATAATTGTATCAAAGAAAGAAAATGAATTGGGTGTTGTTACAAACGAACTTAGCACCCGGGGCTCACGCGAGATATTTATAGTACGCTCTTACTTCACCAATCATTCGTTTCCAGTTTTTGCGAATGTCATGATTCAAATCAGATCAAGGCGTGCATTTTGCAGTATCGTACACTTCAAATGAATATTCTTTTGTCAGCATATTAACATTTTGTGATAACCTTTTGAATTTATATAAAAAAACAAGTATTTCTAACGTGTGAATTTATTCCTATTGTCCAAAACTGAATACATAGTAGTAGCACGCGCCATTTTCTTAAAAACGTAAGCAAAACACTGACTTTTGAGTTTGAATTTCTGGTGATATTTGAACTTCAAAATTAACAATCTGTAGCCAAAACATGGTGCATGGCTATCTATTATAAGACTACGTCATTGCTATAAATGATCTGTTGACACTTTTATTGATTTCAAATTTTTTTTTCAAAAAGTGATCCGATACTGATATGATTTGGGTCAAACGACAGAACTTGATTCTGTTGTATGTATGGTCAACAGTAGATGAAAGTTATTTCTTTAAAAAATTCTAATACCTAAACTAATGAAAACTAAGACAAAGATACAATAAAAAAACGAGATAAACAGTAGATAATTTTCACGGTGAGTGTTTTTGCAATGGGAGACAACTCGAACGACAATTCATTTGCTTAGTACTGAAAATAGGAATTTAGACAACTATAAAAGTAGTCACATGCTAAAACAGCCGTTCATAATAATATCAACAGCTGTTTTTTGGATCACATGTGCTACTATTAGCCAATTACAGAACCTTTAACAGAGTGCAAAAACAAATTTGGAATAACATGAACATACAATTCATCTAAGGACCTCATGTATATCCCATTCACATCAACAAAGCAAGATTAAATCTTTAAATAAATTTATATCATGTACATGTTTCGTTTGTCAAACTTAACCCTCAAAAAAATGTATATGACATAATCATTAAAGTGAATGACAGTTTTTTGAGGCATATCTTCCAGTGTATGTAAAGCATTAAATACCTGTATAGTATAAAAAGCTCTGTTTTAGTGCCATGTGGAGGAAAGTGTGCCTCAAATGCTTACTGTGACAGTGTTACCAACACCTGTCGCTGTAACACTGGTCTTATTGGTGATGCCACAAAGAAATGTTTCAGTAAGTATATGTTTAAATAAACCGCCGTTAAAAAAGGAGGGCCTAAAAGATATGCATTTCATTTTAAAAATATATATAGATAAACAACTTCAATTCAAATGTCATGACATTTTCCATCTGAAAATAGGACTTGAGAATTAGTCAATTAAGACATAATGTCAAATTGATCTCGAAAATAAGACTGCTTGAAAAATAGGGCGGAATCAAAAATAAGCCTTGGATAACTTACTGAAATGAACATAATACGCGCTTATTATGGCTAATGATTGAGATTTAATGGTATAATTTATATCGTAGTATCGTTAGACAACTGAATGAGTCCTACATGTTTACGGATATATATTTATATTGATATTGTAAGATAGTTTCGTATACAGACTACAGATATGCGACTCGCTTATCAAACACAATATATCAATGAATGCATAATGATTCTGATTTACCCATATATCTAGCTAATGATTAAAGGATTTTTAGAAGTGAGTGAAGCCACCTATAACAAATATAATAAACCAACATAAACATCGCATTCCTTCATGCAAGTAATCCATCTCGCGGCTGTTCTGACAAATATTTATTTTGGAAAATCCTATAGCTTATTGACACCTCCCGCTTAGAATGATTTATTTTAGTTCCTTGATAACAAAAATAAAAAAATATGCTCATTGGTTTGAATTTTAACAAAAACATATGAAAGATATTTTGTGAGAAAAAAACAATACAAATATTTGATATCATATAATCTTGAAATTTTATTTGGAAAAGAGTTCACAAATGTGGCGGTATTAAAGAAATGACAAATTTTGAATGCACATTTGTTCGTGATTTTGCCGCAAAGTGTAACTGTTAGTTAATGGTAATATGCTCTCATTGATATTGCAATACTTATTGTGACTGTCAAGGTTGACTCGAAATATATATGCATAAATGTGTATGATTTTATTTTTGTCAGGCCCAAGTGTCATCGTATTTGCACAGTCTAGCTACACAGTGAGAGAAAGCGTTGGAGTCTTAAAGATTAAAGTTAACAGGCAAGGAGGAACATTCGGTTCTATCACTGTGGGATGGACCGTGTCCAGCGGCACTGCCACCAGCCCGTCTGATTTCACATTTGCCTTAGGTTCACTTCAATTTGGTAATGGAGACTCTGTGGAATTTATTTCTATCAAAATTATCAATGATCAGGTAAGAAATCTTCTGTGTCATAGGCCTCCAATTTCCATAAACGTTCCAAATAATGCCATTATACAGGTACATAAATAGGATAGAATCAGATAGTTGATTACTAAAATGTATAATTACAAAGATACCTATTTCGGTAGATTTGAAGGCATACAGTTAGAATTACGCCCAAGTATCCACTTTTTGTGGCACGAACGCAGGACGCACGCTTCCAGAACGGAGACGAGCCGCTTTACGACCGCAGGACGAACCCGGTTCGAACGCAAGCCTACCGATAGTACCGGTGTTACCGATTGGGCCTAACGCTTCTAGTACAGCCGCTTCCCGAACGGAACGAGGTTATTGGCCGCTATCGGCCGCTATCGGCCGATAAACTGCTTAATTATACCTCGCCGCTATCGACCGATAAACTGATACCTGGCCGATAGCGGCGGATCGAACGAACGAACTATGAAGCCGCTTTCAAGGGACGGAACTAGTAGTAATCGTCTGGATAACCAAACCACTCAATTACACCTGTACTTACCACCCACAAGATATATTTAAGTCCGTAACTAAACTAATAAAGCCGTGTTATTTGAATAATGTCGGATCAGTCTAAGAATAACATTTCTCTTATTCTTATGATTAAAATGTTAGACAATGATACGAATTCTACAACATATATTTGTTTGAATAGGCGGTAGTTTAATCTATGTTATAACTGAATGACCACAAATGTATAGGTATACCTAGACAATTACGACACGATTTAAATTCAAATACATGATTGCTAGCGAATTGTAACCATAATCACGGAATCACGTACTCCGTGCCAATATTCACGGAAGAATTGTCCTACCA